ATGAGTGCAAGGTGAGCTGCGAATGGAAACCATATTAGTACTACAATATTAGTAATTTTGTTGCTCTCCATTTTGGAGCTGAGAGTTGAACATATTGTTTTTGGTTATTATTATTTTGGTTCATGTGTTATTTGAATTGTTAATTGGTTGAGTAAAAGCTAACTTCAAGTAGGATAAGACACTTTCTTTTTAGTTGTAGTTGGAAAGTATATCTGTATTATTAGATTTGAACATTGCTAGATATTTAAATGTCACCCTTATAGTTGCCATGCTGTGGTCCTTGAAATTCAAGCTACAATTCCATTAACCCTTGAGAAGCCATCAAAGATACCAATGTGGAAAAGTGCTGTTGGGGCCTATTTCATCAATCCTATATGCTATTTCCCAGTTGCACTTGTAGGATACTAGGCCTTTGGAAGAGATGTTGATGATAATGTGCTTATGGCACTTGAAAAATCTGCATGGCTCATTGCCTCAGCTAACTTAATGGTATTTATTCATGTTGTTGGTACCAAGTATGAATACAAAACAAAGATATGCTACCCCAAATTAAGTTATTCCTGTTTTTGACCTGATTAATGGAGAGAATATGGGGTGCAAAGCATACTGAAAGTAAGGATTTTTAGTGTGTAAAAAGTTCACTTTATCACTGTATTGTCATAGATCGTGTAATGTTGAATGCCTTTGTAGTCAACATTTGTGTGTTTGAGTTTAAACTTTATTCGGACTATTGTTGATGATCTTTATGTTTCAGTCGAGCAACTATTCCTTAATGGAAGGTGTTCTTTACTGTAAGCCTCATTATGAGCAGCTCTTCTTGAGCTTGATGGAAATGACAGCATTTTTCTTGAGCTTATCTTGGATCTAAAGTAAATTGGATGATGGCACAACATATTTTATTTTATGTCAACAAAAATAATAAAGGTATCTTTTATTTTATTTCAAAAAGAATAGCACAGTTCATTAAAAATTGGGTTTGAAGTTATTATAAAACGGTTTTAAACTTGATAACCGGTTTATGGTTCATAACCGGTTTTGATTTAAAACCGGTTTTGAATGATTTTAAATCAAAACCGGTTATGAACCATAAACCGGTTTTGAAACCGGTTTCAAACCGGTTTGGATAAAAAAACCGGTTCGGTTTGAAAACCAAACCATTTAAAACAGATTCGGTTTGGATTTTGTCAAAACCGGCTATGAACCGCTCCATGCACACCCGTAAGTACCCCCGTTCTTCAGCGAATTAAGCAGAGTAAGCATGCCTGAGAAGTGAGATCAGATATTTGCAATCACTCGATACAAAGGAGACTGACCAGCTGAAGTGCTCCAAACAGAGTAAACAAACCTGATATTTGCAATCACATGTTACAAGAGAAGTGAGATCAGATATTTGCAATCACTCGATACAAAGGAGACTGACCAGATGAAGTGCTCCAAGCAGAGTAAACAAACCTGATATTTGCAATCACATGTTACAAGAGACTAGCTGAAGTGTCGTTATAATTTCAGCACAACTCTGTTGTACGAAGGTAAGACTTCCTGGCAAACAGATTATAATTGTATGGAAATGCTAAAACATGTATCTATCTGAGTAGCTGCTACTGTTAGTTACTTACGGAGCAATTAATTCATATATCTTTTTATATCAAGATATACTTACAAATTAAATTAGAAGTAATTACATTGTTAGCTTTCTTTAAAATAGTTCTCCCATTAGAAATTCAAACATTTTTTCTTTATGTTTCACCCTGGTTTACAAACATTATATAAATCAAATCATTTGTATAGCCATCCGTTTCTGGCTGGGTGCTTTGTTTCCTTATATAATGTGTTGTGTTCCACATTTTGCACAGAGACCAAGCATTCCTCAGTGATGTATAATGAAATCCTGAAGAAAGAAAGGGGGCACGTGATCAGTATTCCTCACAACCGGACAGGTAGTGTAACTTTAATTCTTACATGATACCACATATTTCTCCACGCTCTCATAAGCTCATCTCACTGACTGAAAGAGAAATCAACCTTGCATATTTCTCCATTTCCAGTATACAGAGTTCCCTAGCTCAACTTCAACCTCGCCAAATTTCTCATTCAATATAGCTACTCACTCACACTCACTGATAAGGGACGGGGGACACGCTATCTGTTCCCACAAACCTGACTTTCTGTCAACAACATCCCGTAAGGTATATCTCATTTCTCTACTGCACCCACACCCCCTCATCTAATCACACACGTTCACTTTCTTCTTCACACAAGACTTTACTTTTTCCCATTTCTCCATTTCCAGTATATAGAGTTCCCTAGCTCAACCTCAACCTTGCCGAATTTCTGATTCCATATATCCGAATTTCTGATTCCATATATCTAATCATAAACCTTCTGCCTTTTTCTCAACATCGTCCCGTAAAATATATCTCATTTTTCTGTTGCACTCACACCCCCTCATCTAGTCACACACGTTCAAGAGACTTTACTTTTTCTCATTTCATCCCAAAATTTTAGGAGATATATTCTAAGACAAATCATTACGGCTAATGTTATCCCTGTTCTAACAAAAGCATGGAATGTATTGGGAATTCGGATTTTGGTGTCCGTAAGTCTCTTATTGCAAATAGTCCTTCTATTTCGTGGCAACAAAAGGAGGTATATAATTGGTAGACTGACACAGTTTTTTATCTGGTTCAACTATTTGTCATAGATAGTGTTGCAAATTTTGACGTTGGGCACTCTTTTCTCGGACATCAAAAATCCATCACTAAACCCCAACTTCATATTTATGGCGAACTGGGCACCCTTCCTTCTTTTGCATCTTGGTGGCCCTGATACAATCACCGCCTACTCTATTGAGGATAATGAATTATGGCTACGACATTTGCTTGTGTCAATCTATCACCTAGTAGCAATAGTTTTCGTGGTTTTCAAGTCATGGAATGGCAGCCACCTTAACTACGTTGTCATTCCAGTTCTCGTTGCGGGAATAATCAAATATGGTGAGAGGACTTGGTCATTGAGGTTGGCAAGCCGCAAAAAATTCAGAGAATTCAGTCTCCCAGACCTAGGATCTGATTATGTTGAATTCTTGAATAATTACAGTATAAGACAAGCTGAAAGGGATACTGAAGGGGATATTATTTTCGTAGGGGAAGTGATTAAAACTACTCCCACAGTATTGGATCATTCTCAAAGGGCAATAACCAATAGTTGTATCCCAAAAGCTTCTTTTCTACACGACGGATTCCATTTTTTTAAGATTTTCAAGTGTCTATTTGTTGATCTCATACTTAGTTCAAGATCACAAAAACAACCAAGTTTTCTTTTAGAATAAATCTTGGGGTTATGCTTTTCAAGTGATCGAGATTGAGCTTGAGTTGATGTATGATTTACTATACACGAAGGCAATGCTGACTTACTCTCGCCTTGGCATTTTCCTCAAATCCGTGAGCTTTTTTTGCACACTCTCTGCACTTCTGACCTTTTGTTTTGTGATATATAAAGGACACATGAATAATTACCATATCTATACTTTTGTGCTCTCCAGTGTTACTATTTCGCTTGAGATTTGTGCTGTTATTAGTTTACTCTGTTCAAGTCGGGGAATGTTTTGGTTAAGCAAGCAAAAGAATTGGCGAGTCAAATTTCTCTACAAGTTCATATCATGGTTTCCGAGAAATTGTAAATCCCATATCCTAAGAGGTGGTCTAATCGTATGTCACAATTCAATCTCATGAGTTTTGCCTTGAAAAATGAGCCGATCAAATACATCAAAATTCAAAAATTCCTTGGCATCTATAAGTATTTTGAGGAATTTTACTACCAATAGACAACAGTTGTACCTGCAGAATTGAAAACACTCATTTTTTATCAGCTTAACTTGAAATCTCACGAAGCATTGGATGTTGAAGCATGTAAGGTATTATGCACTCACAGGAGGTGCCAGGAGTCGCTCCTTGTCCGTGCCCCTTTGCACAGGCGATCACTCCCCGTCTTCGCCAGCCACCGGGATGTTACACTGCATGCATCTAACAAGACAGACTTGCTTCTGCCTCCTTGAATCACAGATGGTGGAATTTCTGTATCCACTTGAAGTATTGTCTCACAAGCTTGATTTTTGTTTACTTCTAAAAGGCCACACACTTTAGCACATGTTTCTTCAAATATAATTTGCCTTATCCCACTGGGCAACATAAAAGGACACGCAACAAAGAGATGTAACATATAATTTGACAACAATTTGCTTGTTATACAACTTTGGGTTTCGACCCAACTTGAGTTGTCAGATGTATCCGAATGATAGCAAAGATCTGTAGCAATATGCCAAAGCAAAATGCTTTCATCAAACTCTACCTTGACGCTCCAATCAACAACAGAACAGTTCCACTTGTCAAGGACCTGTGGGTGCATAATACCTTACATGCTTCAACATCCAATGCTTCGTGAGATTTCAAATTAAGCTGATAAAAAATGAGTGTTTTCAATTCTGCAGGTACAGTTGTTGTCTATTGGTAGTAAAATTCCGCAAAATACTTATAGATGCCAAGGAATTTTTGAATTTTGATGCATTTGATCGGCTCATCTTTCAAGGCAAAACTCATGGGATTGAATTGTGACATACGATTAGACCATTTCTTAGCATGTGAGAGTTTACAATTTCTCTGAAACCATGATATGAACTTGTAGAGAAAATTGACTCTCCAATTCTTCTGCTTGCTTAACCAAAACATTCCCCGACTTGAACAGAGTAAAATAATAACAACACAAATCTCAAGCGAAATAGTAACACCGAAGAGCACAAAAGTATAGATATGGTAATTATTCATGTGTCCTTTATCTATCACAAAACAAAAGGTCAGAAGTGCAGAAAGTGTGCAAAAAAAGATCACGGATTTGAGGAAAATGCCAAGGCGAGAGTAAGTCAGCATTGCCTTCGTGTATAGTAAATCATTCATCAATTCAAGCTCAATCTCGATCACTTGAAAAGCATAACCCCAAGATTTATTCTAAAAGAAAACTTGGTTGTTTTTGTGATCTTCAAAACTAAGTATGAGATCAACAAATAGACACTTGAAAATCTTAAAAAAATGGAATCCGTCGTGTAGAAAAGAAGCTTCTGGGATACAACTATTGGCTATTGCCCTTTGAGAATGATCCAATACTGTGGGAGTAGTTTCAATCACTTCCCCTACGAAAATAATATTCCCTTCAGCTTGTCTTATACTGTAGTTATTCAAGAATTCAACATAATCAGATCCTAGGTCTGGGAGACTGGATTCTCTGAATTTTTTGCGGCTTGCCAACCTCAATGACCAAGTCCTCTCACCATATTTGATTATTCCTGCAACGAGAACTGGAATGGCAACGTAGTTAAGGTGGCTGCCATTCCATGACTTGAAAACCACGAAAACTATTGCTACTAGGTGATAGATTGACACAAGCAAATGTCGTAGCCATAATTCATTATCCTCAAGAGAGTAGGAGGTGATTGTATCAGGGCCACCAAGATTCAAAAGAAGGAAGGGTGCCCAGTTCGCCATAAATATGAAGTTGGGGTGTAGTGATGGATTTTTGTTGTCCGAGAAAAGAATGCCCAGTGCAAAATTTGCAACACTATCTGCTGACAGATAGTTGAACCAGATAAAAAACTGTGTCAGTCTACTAGTTATATACCTCCTTCTGTTGCCACGAGATAGAAGGACTATTTGCAATAAGAGACTTACGGACACCAAAATCCGAATTCCCAATACATTCCATGCTTTTGTTAGAACAGGGATAACATTAGCCGTCATGGTTTGTCTTAGAATATATCTCCTAAAATTTTGGGATAAAATGAGAAAAAATAAAGTCTCTTGAACGTGTGTGACTAGATGAGGGAGTGTGAGTGCAACAGAAAAATGAGATATATTTTAAGGGACAATGTTGAGAAAAAGGCAGAAGGTTTATGAGCCTTTAGCAGTGAGTGTGAGTGAGTGGATATATGGAATCAGAAATTTGGCAAGGTTGAGGTTGAGCGAATGAACTCTATATACTGGAAATGGAGAAATGAGAAAAAGTAAAGTCTCGTGTGAAGAAGAAAGTGAACGTGTGTGATTAGATGAGGGGGTTGTGTGACTAGATGAGGGAGTGTGAGTGCAACAGAAAAATGAGATATATTTTAAGGGACAATGTTGAGAAAAAGGCAGAAGGTTTATGAGCCCTTAGCAGTGAGTGGATATATGGAATCAGAAATTTGGCAAGGTTGAGGTTGAGCGAATGAACTCTATATACTGGAAATGGAGAAATGAGAAAAAGTAAAGTCTCGTGTGAAGAAGAAAGTGAACGTGTGTGATTAGATGAGGGGGTGTGTGGGTGCAGCAGAGAAATGAGACATACCTTACGAGATGTTGTTGACAGAAAGTCAAGTTTGTGGGAACAGATGAGTAGCTATATGGAATCAGAAATTTGGCGAGGTTGAAGTTGATCTAGGGAACTCTGTATACTGGAAATGGAGAAATATGCAAGTTGATCTATGAGAGCGTGGAGAAATATATGGTATCATGTAAGAATTAAAGTTACACTACCTGTCCGGTTGTGAGGAATACTGATCACGTGCCCCCTTCCTTTCTTCAGGATTTCATTATAGATCACTGAGGAATGCTTGGTCTTTGTGCGAAATGTGGAACACAGCCCATTATATATGCAAACAAAGCACCTAGCAAGCAACGGATACAAATGATTTGATTTATATAATGTTTGTAAACCGGGGTGAAACATAAAGAAAAAATGTTTGAATTTTTAATGGGGGAAGTTATTTGATGTAATTACTATTGATTTAATTTAAAGCACAGCTTGATATAAACATATATGAATTAGTCGCTCCATAAGTAACTAACATCCGCACTCAGATACAAGTTTTAGTTCCATTTCCAAATAAATTCTGCTTGCCGGGAAGTCTTACCTTAGTATAATAGAATCTTGTTCAAATTATAACAGCACTTCAGCTAGTCTGCTTTCAATAAGTGATAGTAAGTATCTGATCTCAAGGTATTCCAACCATGCTTACCCTGCTTTTGAAAAAAAATAAAAATCTAGGAATTAGGGCAAAGTGTGAACTGAATATTCCTTAAAATCAAAATAACAATAAATAAGAAGAAGAATGCTCGATCTCTGTTCAAAACGGGGAACCCAGCCAATCATATATGTAAACAAAGCACCCAGAAAATAACGAATGGCTACACAAAATGATTTGAATCATATAATGTCTGTAAACCAGCTGAGACATAAAGAAAAATGTTTGAATTTCTAATGGGAGAACTATTTTAAAGAAAAATTCTAATTTAATTTGAAGTATATCTTGATATAAAGCTTTATGAATTAATCGCTCCGTAAGTAACTAACAGTAGCAGCTACTCAGATAGATACAAGTTTTAGCATTTCCATTTACAATTAAAATCTGTTTGCCAGGAAGTCTTACCTTTGTATAACAGAGAGTTGTGTTGAAATTATAGCGGCACTTCAGCTAGTCTCAGGTTTGCTTACTCTGCTTGGAGCACTTCAGCTAGTCAGTCTCCTTGTATCGAGTGATTGCAAATATTTGATCTCACTTCTCAGGTATACTTACTCTGCTTAATTCGCTGAAGAAGGTTTGTACTATGGCTTGAAATATGTTTTGCTTTTTCCTGTAATGTAATGTAATTCCAACGCATGCCGTTGCAGTGTTGTTGGAGCAGGGAGCAGTGGTACTAAATTTCTGTTATTGGAGTGGGGTACGATGGATAAAATTCTGTTACGTTATGGTGCTTGCATTTTTTGTTTTATGGTAAACTTTTTGTGCTTGCTTCCTTTTAAGTCTTGTTGCAGTGTGTGATAGCATGTTTTTTGATACTTACATGCTTTCTGATACTTGCATGGTTGCAGTGTTACAACAAGGGTGGTGTATACAAAAATTAGATAAAAGAGTGTAACTGCATATAAGTAGACAGAGCAAGACAAAGACTCACCTAACTGATTATGCCCGCTCGAATAAAAGTTTTACATTCTTTTCTTTTTTAAAATCGTTGGATAATCAAACTTAATTAATTCAACACCAAAAATAATTAAATAATTTATCGGGAGGAAGTTTTAAATTCTTTTTTTTTTTAGAATAAAAAAAGAATTTAAAACTTTCTCCCAATAAATTATTTTCTTTTTTCAAACGTACAAAAAATTCTTTTCTTTTATTATCCTCCTTTGTGCTATCATCTATTATTTTATTAACACGGGGAGGATTATATTGACAAATTTTTTTCTTACAAACTACATTAAGTTTGACTAGTCATATACTCTTGATTGAAGTATAACTGGTCAAACATAATATAATTTATAAGAGTTTGTAAATAAAAAATTTGTAAATATAACATTCCCCTATTAACATTATTTCTTCAATCAACAGTTCAGAATAAACCTCAAAATGACATGAGTTTTTATAGACTTTATAATATTGTACGTTTGTTTGGAGAAAGGAAGAAGCAAGTGTCAGTGACTGGGTTTATCGAATCAGAATTTTGATTTGAGGTTTCAGGAGGGAATTCTATGCGATGGGAATGACATTTGCATTTCATTTGCCAAATTGCTACATGACAACTAGATAGAAATAATAATTGAATTTTTTAACGCATGCCTCTTCGAAATAATCTATATTTCATATTGTTATGGATACTCGCTTAGGTCTAGTAAGATTGGACCTCATATCACTAAGCCCATAATCTAAAACCTTTTAAAGAGTATCCATGGCAAGCCATAGAAGCTCATCATCGGGACATCCCCTTTCCTTGCACTGCTGCTCCTGTACATTAACAATGGGCAGCATGTCTTGTCTCAGGACAAGATACAACTTAATGAGACAGCTCATGGGACTGACCAGTTCGCTCCCCATGCTGGAGAGGGATCCTCTCTAAATACGCCCTCACACATGGAGGGGGGAGAATTTTCTTCTTCACTCTCTACCTATGTTGTTACTCTGTCTCTCTATAGAGCCATCTTGGTCATAGACACACCCCTCTTTTTGGACATCATGGGAAGCCTCTATAGTGCTTTGGTCTCTAGTATTATCACTATGAGCACCCCTATATTAACATACTTCACCCTTCATGAGACACATTTATGTACCACCATCTGTACATTGGCGCCGTCTGTGAGAACCATAAATTCCTATTACCACCCGAATGCGAAAAAAGCTTTCTGCATCTACTTGCTCTGCAACTATCTTCTCAACCACAAGTGTAGGGTCGAAGCCCTCTCCTTTTTGCTACTAGAGAAGCCTTAAAATCCACATCTACAAAAAAGAAGAGAATGGAGACCAGAACCGTACCAGATCTACAAAAAGAGAAAGAAGACCAGAAAAGAAGAAAAGAATCAGAAGAATCCAGATCTACCAAAGAACGAAGAAAGAACGTGAGTACTTGTTGCAGGAAAAGAAAAGTTAAAGACCCAAAGTTTCACTTTGTGAAGAACCTTAAGAAGACCAACACTAAGCTTTTCAACTAAGGGTAGCAATTTGGGTTGGCCCGCCCCGACCCGCCACCAACCCGCCAAAAACGGGGCGGGGCGGGTTGGCCCGCCATTAAATATGGACTGGAGAAATGAGCCCACCCGGTTTTATGGTGGGTTGGCGGGTCAACCCATCCAATTAAAAAAAATTAATTAAAATTAAAAAATAAATTATATTTTATGAATTTTTCTAATATTATTTTATTTTATTTCGCACTTCTTTTAATTTTTTTGAGTCTCAATCTTAAATGTATACTAATATTTGTCAAACATTCTTTAGGAACTCATTTATCTCCATATATAGATAACATTTATCTATAAATAAAATTGTTATTCTTTATTTTTTTTAGAAAGTACTAAGATAAAAAAAAAATCGGATATCGCAAAAATTTAATGACAAATGATCTAACAAATAAGTTTAAGAAATTACGGTCTTGACTTGTGGATTGGCATAATTGTGAAGAAATGAAAATAAACAATAAGTGCCCGTCTTGTAATTACATGGCATTGTAGCATTTTATTGAATTTTGTTTTGGATTCTTTCTCTAGGTGTTCCTAGGGACTGAGAGTCTTTGGATTCCTTTGGAGCTAGATAAGTAACTTGCACTACAAGTATGCAAATTGGAGCTTCAAGAGGTAAACTCTATGTTTATGGAGTCTTTTCCTACTTGTGTGCTCCACCATGGTTAGTGGAGTATGGTTGGATTGTATGATTGTATTTGATACTTTGTATAGGTGTATTCATATAGAGTTATATGATAATATAATATGTTTTGTTCTGATATAATTCTGTAATGATATAATTCTGCTTGGGGTCCTCCCTCGGGACTGACGATGTACACCTCTGACATGTTTTTGGTTCCGCTTGGGGTCTTCCTATGGGAACACGTGCACTGACTTTCGCTTGGGGTCCACCCTTGGGAATGAACGCGTACGTCTCTGATAAGATATGTATATGTGCCTTGTTCAGTTATGATATTTGTTATATGATGCCTGATATACTCTGTATCTGACTTTTATGCAGGAGTGGGCCCAGGGTATGGAGAATTCTCTATAAACCTGGAGCTTATTTAGATTTGTTATCTCACCCCGTTTGGGGGCATCATTTCAGGTGTACAGTCTCCTATGGGAACACGTGCACTGACTTTCGCTTGGGGTCTACCCTTGGGAATGAACGCGTACGTCTCTGATAAGATATGTATATGTGCCTTGTTCAGTTATGATATTTGTTATATGGTGCCTGATATACTCTGTATATGCAGGAGTGGGCCCAGGGTATGGAGAATTCTCTATAAACCTGGAGCTTATTTAGATTTGTTATCTCACCCTGTTTGGGGGCATCATTTCAGGTGTACAGATTCCAGGTGAGCCCTCACGAGGCAGGGACACGACCCGTGGCTAGAGGTGCTACGACGGACCAGATTTTTTTTTGAGCAGTTGTAGGCTACTGCTATTTTGGAGTATATTTCTGTTGTTTCGTATTCGATTATTTTGAGGATCATGATGTCTGATCCTTTATTTTGTATATAGCCTGTATATATTTTGTACATGTTTTCTGCTTTGATGCATGTGCATTTGTGTATTCAGGCATGTCTATATTATAATGTAGTATTCAGTTATATGTCTACATGTTGGTTATGCATGCTGTTAGACGTAGTGGCACGGAGCCAAGTTATATATGAGCTCTTGGATGGGTATGTGACTTGTGATGGATATATGATATTCTGTAATTATAGATTATATAAACTGTCTATCAGGATATCTTGAGAGCGGGATTTTAAATCCCCGTTTGTCCGATTTACAGATGTTATTCTGTCCGATTTTCGTATCCGTCAAATAAAAAGTAAACTTGAGGAAGTATGCAATATTGTATATCATGTGAAAATGATAAAAGGAAAAAGAAAAATTAGCTCGTATTTTCATAAGTTAAGTCTTCTGTTGTTTCTGTTTAATATGATATATGTATTAACTGAATCGGCTCGGGACGAGGATGTTACAGGACCCACACAAAAGGAAGTGGAATTCAATATGCATAGTTGAAGACAACTTTTAGCAAAAACTTTTGATATCACTTGAAGCTTATTGGCTTAATTGCATTAATAGCTAAAGTACTAGTGGCCGCCACGTAAAGTAATTTTTTGGTGCCACTTTAATTTTTTGTCTTGAAGTTCCTCCGTAGCAAAGCAACTTTACAATTCAAAACTTCAATCTCTCATGGGCCCCATTATACAATAATGGTGGGGTCTATCTTCCGCTCGCTCAACAGGAAGATCAGCTCTTCACGCTACCTTCCGCCCGGCCAACAGGAAGACTAGCCTCTCATGCTACTTTGCACTCGCCCAACAGGAAGACCAACATTCATCAACATAGTAAAAGTTGTCTAACCAATATCTACACACCAAAGTATCCAGCGAGACTCACACTATCAGGTTTTGTTTTTAACATACGGCAGTAACATCTCGTCACATATATGATTCCTTTTGTTTCTATATCGTATTTGATTATAAATTTCATATGAGCTGCCTAACGATTAATGGACACACAGTCCGCTTGTGAATTTGCTGCCCTCATAGTTATAGAGTGTCTACTACAAACCCACAATGAAGGCCGGGATGGCTCTCATCCCTGGTATCTCTCCAGACCGGGCCCCCGGTATACAAATGTGCGAAGGCTCATGACCGGGCGGAAATACTCCCTTGAAGACTGGCGCGGTTCCGACCCCCAGTATCTCTTATGACCGGCCCCCCGGTATACAAATGTGCGAAGGCTCAAGATCGGGCCAGAAATACTCCACCGAAGATTGGCGTGGTTCCGAGACCCCCGGTATACAAACTTTGGTTTGCGAATCTCAAGGCTTTCCTGAGCTTCATGTCTTAAAATTTTGGGTGCTAGAGCAATTAGAGGATTGGAAAATAGAAGAAAAAGCACTCCCCTGCCTCACACAACTGGAAATCAGATCGTGTTTGCGCCTGAAAATGCTTCCTCATGGACTAAAGAATGTTAGCAGTCTTCTTGAGTTTAAGTTAACAAATATGCCAATGGAAATCAATACGGACAAGCATAGGATTCCACCCAATTGTGAAGTCTTCAAAGATAATTCTCAGTAGAATTTCGTCATTGCATGGTGAGTTGCCTCACTTTGTATATTTGCTTTCTTTACTTTCAGATGACATGTAGTGGTTTAACTATCCAAAATATGTTTGTCAGTGAGCAACAATCTTTCCGTAAAAAATTGTTCCGAAGGGATTCCAACAAACTTCATCAACTCAAATGCTTAGCATGCAATTTAAACTGGATGGTAAGTTTAGTTCTTCATTGAAGGCTATGAAGTTGAAAAATTATTTCTTGATCACATTAAAGTAAACTTTCTGGACAACTTATTTAAATTTGTATTGGGATATATTATTTTCCTTGATTGTGTTTTGAAAAATAAGGTTTTTCACATTTATATAGACTCCCTATATATGTTTTTTTGTTTGTTTGTTGTGGAGATGAGATATTACTTTCTAGACGAGTTATTAAATTTATATTCTTTCACCTTTTTCGGAGGTCTGACCTTCACTTAACTGTGAAATAAGATAACACAAAAAGAACAGAAAAGAGATAGGTGAGATATCTAGTGACTTTTTCTCCAATTCCATTTTAGTTATTTCAATTAATAAATAATTCAGCTACGAAATTTTTTCTCTCTCTCTCTCTCTCTTAAATAACAACGCTATCTCATTCAAATCACCTACTCCTTGCTTTTTTTATTTTTTAAGTTTTTTTATATAAGCTGTAATTTTTTATTTCAATGGCCACACAATCACATAGAGGCACGAGTAGGATTAAGGCTGGTTCTCCTTTTTGAAAGCATTTTTAAGATAAAAACTTGAAAATGACAACACAAATTTATTTTAACAAGCCGTGAGTCATGCACACCATATGACAGTTTGCTTGATTTCTACCAGACAATTTAATAACACCGCATGCGAAACTTTACTCTGTTTGAATATTGTGCAGATTGGTTTGCCAGTTGCGTGTTGGATCAGCAGGAGGAAGAAAGTAGATACATTCTTAGAGTTATAGGAGATTCTTCAAGACGTGAAGTGCTTGTTTTTATCTTATTTTAAATCTGCTAGCACTAATGTTTGATTAGGACAAAGTAATTCTCGTTTGGTGGTTTTTTTTTTTTTTTTTTGGTTAGCACTAATGTTTGATGATTAGATACTTGAGTTGAATGAACAACTGGGCTGATTTCACTCTCCAACTAGCTATAACAAGTAGCTATCAATGGGAAAAGTCAGAAACTTTGATTCCACTCTCATAAATGGTGCATGTCGAGAGGAGACTACCATATACCAATACATAAAGTATAGACCTACACTTGCTAACCACCCATTAAGCCGATCAATAATCCAAATAATACAACATTATAACCAGTCTATTTTTCACGCAATAAATTATAACCCGATTCTATTTTTTTAATCTTGTTTATGCAACTTGTTACACGACCTTACAATCTTTCCTAATGACAACATATCAATGCAAGACCAATACGCACACAGAGGGAAAATGGGCTCTAAATACAAATGTAGAACTATAAAAGAACACTAATTCTCAAAACTTAGTAAGCGTCAATAATTAGAAAGAGGGAGAAAAAGTCACCGAAATACTGAAACTACTCATATAAATCAGAGTGGTAGGCGATTAAGGATCCAGTAAAAAACAAGGCAACGATAATAAATGGTCAGCGCCAGCTTTTTGTAATGTTGCAAGTTAAGACACAGTATTTTCAATTTACACAACGAGACCAGTTGATTCCAGCTCTGTTCTCACCAACTTCTTAGACAAGAACAGATAAGAATTTCAGTACTTAATCCTAAAAACCACGATACGAATGAAGCATAATGTCTCCTCTCTTTATCATGTCATGAGGAACTATCGGGTTTAACCTTATCTACCTACATGCCATACCTAGTTATTCCTTGAGGATGGACCTGGGTTAAATGGATGCCTTGAGTTCTCATGTTGGTTTCACTCCAGAACAAAGGTGCTACCATTGAGTCCAAGCTGAGTATCCTCTTCTTTGACCCGCCAGGAGATCCTTCCAATGTCAACCCTCCGAGACTTTCAAGTGATGTTAGGCAACTTTCGGTGGAACAATCAGCCCCTTGAGGCTGGAAAATAGGTGGTACTTCTGAAACATGCATTCCACCAACCTCAGTATATGGTAGGGGGCAACAGCCAAGAGGATCAACTAACAAACTTCTTGATGCTTTACTTTCCAGTCCTTGAAATTTTTGGTTGTCTGTGTCTATAATTGTATCACCAATAAATTGATCCGCCAACATCTTACAAGCTCTCTCAAGCATGGCCATATATCTCCGCTCTGCATCCTGGCGAATTTGCAAATGCTTCTCTGCCTGCAGTACCATAATTCTTAAAAATAGTAAGCGTTAGGGTACATTTATAAGAAATAAAGATAATTATTCTCAAATATTATTTAGTTGATGACATTTAAGAAGAAAAAAAAAGAAAGCATCTAATCATCATCATGCAACTATACTTACAATACCAATCAAAATGGTCTAAATTTAATATCCAAAATAATAATACACTTTGCACCATGAAAAGGAAATTTACCTCCACTAGTAAATGTAGTTTGCTTTGCACTTCCATCTGTTCTCTTAGTGCCTCCTTGACTTCATGACCCCTATACATGACATTGAAACTCTCAATTTGGTAATCTAGAACCATTCAGACATCCAAGCAGGAATAAATTGATTCTCAAGAAACCGTGAAATTCTTACTCATTTGCATCAGAAGCTGGTAACCTTGGAGATGAGTTATCAGTACCAGGGTTTTCTAGTGGATATGAAGCTGATATTCCTTCCATAAATGTTCAATATGTGAGTTTAAGTTTAGACTATAACCAAAAAAGTTTATATTATAAACAATATTGCTAATGTATGATTCTGCCCTTGTTTCGTAGAGATGGAGGTTCTACGTCAACCTTTCATTGAGCAAGGGAACAGAGATACAAGTAATTGATCTATAGAAAAGGACACTGATATATAATTGGAAAATTTCACATTAAAACATTCAGATGGATAGCATATAATTCGAAAGTACAGAGAGACAAACCTACCATCTTTGCATCCCTCGTCAGAATCTTTTCCTGATTGCTTACCAAGTCTGTACTTCTGCAATACATCAAATAATAGTATAAAATAGAAAATTATCATAAAGTTTCACATTCACCAAAGATTCTATAACTGAGTGTTACAACAATGATATGCAGATGAACCTGAAGATGACTCTTTAAATGATAGAGTGTTAAACCCTTCACATTCATAGTCCTCATGATTGCTTTTGGTGTGGCTTCTGCAATTAATAATTTTAATAATAAAATTGTGAGAAGAAGACCAATAGAAACCCCAGTTAGAACAGTTGAATGAGGAGGATAGCCTAATAATTCGAGGTAGAGCTAGATATTTCTCACATAATGATATTACTTATTTTTATAAGATTTCTTAGGAAATATTCACAAATCATAACACAACCCCCAACTACAAAGTGAGAAGAATAAATGCTGCTAAATTTCTAATTTTTGGCTTTTCTACTTTTGTTTATGGTCTTTAATGCTTTCAAATTACTACAACTCAACATTGATGTTTATACCACCTTTAAAAGCATAAAATCATCATATGAGCCAAAAGCGATAGTTAAACACAAAAAAATGAATCAAGAAAAATAAGAGGACTAAATCCCCATGATAAAATCCCCGTCATCTTAAAAAAATTTCTAAAGGAATACACATGAAGAACATTTCTCTAACACCAAAATTTAAAAGGTTGAGGTACCATTTACTGAAAGTTTTCTGCGCCCCTCATTCCTGGATCATGGCATTGTGCTAAGTAAATGCTAATCAGCATTTTTGAACCCTTGACCAAGTCAGTTTTCTTTCCAAAAGAATATTACATTACAAAAAACACCGTAACAAGTTTGTGGAGAGTATGCATATACTGTAAAACATACAGAACTAGTACGGTGACAAACTACTAGAATGATGCAAACCAACAGACAAACATAAAACTGAAGACACAAGCAGAAGAGCTTCATAATAATAAAAGCTTCATAATAAGTTTAACACCCTAGTGTGAAACTTCTAATCATGTTGAGTCCTTCTATATGCTTTATTAACTAGTGATTTCTAAAACATTGACTATTACAAAAAAAAGATGAATTTCACCTTGTTAAGATGAAATACATAAAATAATTAGAGCTTGCTTACAATGGACTCAAATTGAGCGCTTATAGTTTTTCTTTTTTTTACTTTTTTGGATGAAAATAACGAGCGCTTACAGTTGCGCCACAGTCTAAGGCACACTGAATTTGTTTCTTTCAGGCCACAATTACATATATGATTACAAATTACTTGGAAATTAAGCCCAAGGAAAATCCACCCAGAACTGCAATTCCAAACAAATTTCCTTGCTTCCATAATTTCCATCCATTAAACAAAAACTAAAACTTCTGTATGAATCCCAACAGCTCAGAACAGCTTCCTATCAGCATCAAACTAATAAGGCAAAAGTGATTGCATATACACAAATTAATAAACTTCACAGAATGGGGTGCATCACTATCACAGCCAAGGTATGATGATGCACCCACTTTACACCAAGAGGACACAATTGCAAACATAACAGTGTCAAATTTGAATGACTTAAACAAGAAGCAAAAGTGCAAAAAGTAATGGCATAAGACACAAATTACTCACTACTAGGACCCCCAAGTTGAGTGACAGCATCAACAAAACGTTCATGAAGGTCAGAGGTCCAACGAAGGCGAGGTTTTGGATCAGAAGTCAAAACAAGACACGGGTCTCCGAGGTGACTATGATTCGAACCACCCTGCATGTCTTCCTGCCCAACAACAGTCCCTTCATGGGGATGTATCAATCTAGAAAACATCCTCGTATTTTTACTTCTTCTTCTTCTTCAAACCCCAGAACACTCCACCGAAAGAACCCAACAGAAAAAAAAAAAAAAAAAAAGAACCTTGGGGTTATAGCAAAAATGGAAGCAGATCGAGATGACCCATTTGGTGAGAGAGGAAGAAGATGAAGCAGAAAGGGAGAGTGGGGCAAATGAACAAATGGGTATCTGAAAAGCACAAGACTTTGGTTTGGGGAAGAGATGGGTGGGCAGAGGTAGCATATGGAGCTGTCACTGTCACGCTTTACTGGGATTTTGTCACTTTCTGCTACTTTTCCTTTTATTTTTATTTTTCTTTTAATTTTTTTTAAGTTAGAAATAATAATTTTTTTATATTATAGGATATATTTTTAATTCTTGTACTTGTTAAAAGCCTACAAGGTCAAAAAAAAAAAATTCTCTCTTCTTTTTTTTATATGATTTTTTATAAGTTTCATATATTTTTATATATATAAAAATATAATTAATTCTTAAAACATGATAAATATTAATCTATTAATAAATAAAAATTAAAAAATTAAAATAAAATTCGGTGGCATTGATTTGCCGCTCCATGTTTCCCTCCACTCATTTTATCCATGGGCTTTAGGGGTTCTGATTATTCAACTCATTCTTTTATTAAATTCAATTTCTAAAATTGTTTTTTGTTTTTTGTTTGTGTCCATAATCAAGGTTCTTTCTTATGGGCTCATCAAGGGCTTTGTGCCTTACAGCCAGACACATCCACGTCTTTGCCGTTTACACATTGTAGACTATGGCAGGAGTCCACTCGAATCTCGAGCCACTAAGGGCTATTTGGTAGAAAAAAAAAAAATTATCCGAAAATTTTAATTTTTAAAATTATGATTTTTACATTTAATTTATAATAATATTTTAAAATTAAAAATTTTAAAAATTTAATTTTCTGATAGTCTTTAATGATTTTCTCTCGCACACCAACATAGATATTTTATTAAGTTAAAAAAAATATATAAATTACATTCTCAATGTTATAAGTTATATAATAATTAATCCACATTTTTGCAGAAAAAATTTAAAATGGGATACGTATTTTCTTTATCCGGTAAATGCGTATCTTTCTTATTTTGTAATACTTGTTTTCTAAATTTTTATATGAAATTAAATTAATATTTTTTATTATTAGTTGTCATTTTAAAGGATTATTTTTTTTAATTTCTTTAATTAACATTAGGCATAATGAGATATTTGTAAATCAATACTCATGCATGCTTGTGAGTTGTGACAAGCATTGACCTTAAAATAGGGCAACATTTCCTCCCCTAAATCTTACCAAAATAAAAAGTTTGAAAAATATATAATTTTTCTCTAGATTCCGCAACAACATTTACTCGCAGATTATACAGGGAAACTATTCCTTATATATTTTGTTATGCTCGTGAATTGGGAATAGTTAATAGTATATCATATATATGTTTGTGCTTGATTAAATTAAAGTCAGCATATATTTAACTAGATCAAGTGTAAAGAACTTTGGGATACACCAGCCCAAAAGCTAGCTCAAAGGGTTTGTCCATCCAATCAATGTGGGACTATATATCTCAACACGTCCCCTCACGCAAGAGCCCTTTGGGCTTGAAACGTGGATTATGCACAGGCTCAATCTTTGGTTTACCTTTTGTGCTTTTTTTTTATTTTAATCCACTTTAATGTAGGAGACGGTGTGGCTCTGATACCATGTAAAGAACCTTGGGATACACCACCCAAAAGCTAGCTCAAAGGGTGGGAGTGCCCAAGGCCTTATAAAGGTCATATTAGTTGCTCATCCAATCAATGTGAAACTATATATCTCAACATCAAGTAATTAAAATTGACGTGTTCAGCAGGTGTAAAAAAAGGTCATAATTTGCACCTTTCCATTTTTTAAGAAAATAATAATGATGATTAACAAAGGTACTTAGAGGAAGTTGCATGGGATCTAATCTGCTATACAACTGGTGTTGAAAGTTGTTTGGTGGACAAGGGTGATTTGATCTCACTGAAGATTAAGATTGAATTATTGGAGCTACAACTTTAGGCTATGACTTAAGGCACACGGGTTTTTGTCTCTGGTTTGCATCTTGTGACACATGTAGACCCAAGTCCAAGTATCTCCTTTGAATAGTATCCATCATTTGGAGGAAAATCAGGTTTCCAATCCCTTCGATTTTCTAATGAAGTTAGTCTTTGATATCTAGAAGTTAATACTTTCTATCTCATTGTCGAGCAGCTCCATCATAATTATCTGTCAAAAATTTGCTTGGTGAAGTTTTGATACAACTACAATCCATCTTCTAGAAGGATTTCAGTGGTCCCGGATCACCATTTATTCAGTAGTCCGGACCAATCAAAATCATATAACTCATGAGGAGGGAGAAGAAATAAAAAATAATTTTTTGTCCAAGTATCATCTTTTAAATGGAAGGATCACATGAAACCTGAAGCACTAAAAAAATATTCCCCATCTGATTTATACACTTGGTAGTTTTTGTTTTTACGTAGGCAGCAGGTGATCTTGGGCTTTATTTTATCTTTCTTTTTTTTTTAAAGTCAAACAATGTATATTCATATTTATTTACAGAACTAGAATAAAATTCACCACTAGCCATTCTTAGAAACTTAGGAAGTTGTTCATCCTCATTTCATGTTCAATTTTTATTTTTTATTTTTTATTTTTTGGAGTTATAACATTAAAATTAGACTTTTCAAAGGATAAAGATACTGAAAATGTATTTTTTATCAGTAGCTTCCGCCTTTAAAAATCATCAATTGTTTTACATATGAAGTTCAAATTATATTTTAAAAATAAAAATACAACTTCTAATTATCTAAAAAGTATTTACATGACATATAATTAATCATTGAATTCAATGATGACAACTCAGTTGATACAAGGGAGTTGAGTAGGTAGGAAAAGTCCTCAGTTTGATCCCTATCAATATTATCTTAGGGATGGGCATAAAATTTTATTCATTAACTCGTCCGGCACTGGAATTAGTTTTATAGTCGGCTCAAAAAGTTAAAATTTTTGAGAATAATGAGAGAACCTACTCACCTTACAAAGATAATTATGGTTGATATAATTTTTTTTTTATCTCTAGCCATTTAACCTGTAGCTCCATCAATACAAATAAAAATAATTTCGCTAAAAACGATATACATCAAATAATGAATAAAAAAGAAGCTCACTCACTAGTCTACCGCAGAAAAAAAAAAAAAGAGAGTAAAGGGATATTTATATCTCAATGGTATGAAAATCTGACTCTCAGAAAGGCAATTTTATTATTATACTAAGACTTTACTAATAGAGAAATTATTGCATATTTATATAAAATTATAGATAAAATACAAATTATATATAGATACATACCCGCGTCGTATACACACAAATATTTATGGGGCTGTGCATGGCCCTCTTAGGCACCAATACAATCCGCCACCGTGCATTGTTAGTTGGTTACAATAGTAATAGGCAGATCTTATTTTTCACTACATGTGCAATCCATGATATTTCAAGAACATTGTTCCAAAACCTCTTATGAATTCCTGCAATTTTCATTGACTTGTATCATTTAGCGGTCGTGAGGCGCACACATGAACACGACCTCTCCATGTGAATTGAAACTTATTTGATGACAACTCAACTCGTTTTTGTCTAGGTAACAAGATGATTACGAAACTTTTGCCTTCTTTCTTTTTCTTTATTTTCTGTTGGGCGATTATTCAATTATTAAAAAATAAGGTGTACAAAATGGTATTACTGTTAGTCACATATTCATTAAGGGTTTAGTGTTTGTAATTTTAAATAACATAATTTTGTGTCATTTTTAATGAAACTACGTTATTTTGGTGTGTTTTGTTATTTTTTCTAATTTATAAAATTAGAAATAAAAAGAAAATAGAGGAGAGAGAATGTTAAAACACACCAAAATGACGTAGTTTCATTAAAAATGACATAACTTTATGTCATTTAAAATGAGCAACATTTTTCTCATTTATTACTAGTTTACTTACCAATCTATACACCTTGTTAATTAATAATTGAGCCTTGACTATTTAGTGTAAAACTGGTGAAAAAGCATTTATTTTCCTCTAGTTATTTATGCATTCTTTATCATGGGGAGTCTAATTAGATGTTCTTTTAATGGCAGACACTAACATTTATTGAAGTATTCTTCATGGGAAAGAAAATTTCTTGGAAGATGTATAATTGCTAGCCGGTCCTGCTGATACTCAAGTATCATTATTCTACTAAGCAGGAAAAGCAAAGACTTAAGAAAATAATATGAGAATAACAACAGCTTTGAATTAAAACCATGCCATTTGATGCTTGGTTACATCACCTCCTATCTACCAAAGTACAAAATTGTGTCATAATTCAGATGAGGTTACTTTACTCCCAACAATTTTGTGAGAATTCAACCCCATTTGACCTTGTATTAATATGTACATACTAAGATGAGATTAGGGAAGCATAAAAATCTAACAATTGAGTCTCTTTTTTCCAGCATACAAAAGTAGGTCAGGGTTTGTTGATATGGGGACAAAGTTGAGGTGATGCACACTGGCCACTTGTTTCATTCTGATTTGCTTTGCAGGTGAAAATTATGGATGTGGTAGGGAATGATGTGAAGCAGTGGTAGGTGTTGGTAAGTGTTGAATGACCTTTCTAAACTTTGAAACAGGAAAGTCAGTGCCTGAAGAGAGAACAGGATCCCTTTTCTTGCAGAAAGGGAAGCTTTTGTTAGAGTCTTGAGGTAGTAGGGAAGGAGTTGGAGATGAAATGGCCACTGGAGGGATCTCAATGGAATTGAGTTGTGGAGGTGGGTGTTGCCACTGTGGGAGTGGTCCAGCCAGGAGAAGGGTCTGAAGCAATGGTCCAGCTTCTATCACTGCCTTCAAGAACTTCCCTTTCTCTGGTAATGGTTTCTTTTCTGATAATTCCATGACTACTTGCAGAGGTGTTGGATATGGGGTCGAACTGCCACCAGAAGAAGGCATGCTGTTTTCTTCACAATCAGAAGAAGCAGCTGGAGCTGAATGCTTTTCAGAGATGACACCTTGCAGTTCATCTTCACTCTGTGATATATTGTCTCTTTGATGTTGTTGATGGATTTGAACAATCTGTTGCTGTTCCACCTCTTGCTTCTGCTGAAGTTCTTGTTGGA